TTTCGAGTGTTTCCGAATTCATTTTCTGGTACTTATATATATATATATATATATATATATATTTATTTAAATAAATCATAAAGGATATTGTAATTTAAATATGACATAAAAAATTGAGAATAAGAAATATAAAAAAATTTATTTTTAAGTAAATTTTTTATCTTGACATTATTAATTAGCGATTATACTATTTGAATTATTTAACTATTATGATAGTTAAACTATATTTCTGAAAATTCCTTCTGTCTTTCTCCACCCACTTAAATTAAATGAAATTTTAACATAAAGGTTATATGCTATAAAAAAATAAATAAATAAAAGTTTTACGTACCAATATGTATGCTATGCAACTTGTTTGACCTTAACAGAAGGAATTGATTTTGATGATGAGCATGACATAAAGTCGGTCCCTCAAATCATAAAGAAAGTTGAAGTAAGCATGCCTCCATTTTCTGTTGAAGAAAATGGCAGAACAGACACCCAAAAAGCCTGTTGCAAATCCAGATTCTATTCCAATGTAAAACCATGACAAAAATGTAGATTCACCGTCTTTTGATTTTGTGTCTTTAGGTTTACCACCCTGAGAGCAATTTTTTGTGAGTGGAGGTCCACAAAGATCAGGATTTCCTATATAGCTGAGTGCACTAAACCCTTGAAGTTGTGTGCCTAATGGTATTTTGCCTCTCAAATTGTTGAAAGACAAATTTAAATGACCCAAAAAGGATAAACCAGACAAGCCTTGAGGAATTTCACCCCAAAGTTGGTTTGAAGAAAAATCAAGGGACTCCAATTTTTTCATGTTACCAATCTCATTAGGAATTTCTCCTGTTAATTTATTGTGGGACAAGTTCAAGGAGCACAATCCAATGAGGCTAAACATTTGGGGAGGTATTGTTCCTGACAAATTGTTACTTGACATGTCAATTAAGCTCATGAAGTGCAGGTTTCTTCCATATTCTGATACTTGGCCTTTTGTAACCAACTCAAGACTGTCTTCAAATGTGTAATGGCCACCATATGTAGGAAAGAAAAAAGAAAGCTTGTTGTGTGAAGCTTTGATGGAAATCAAGGTTGTGATATTATGTAGACATGTGGGTATATGTCCTGAGATTGTGTTATCTGCAATATCCAAAATAATGAGAGATGACATTTGGCATACTTGTGTTGGGAGATTACCACTAAAATTATTGGACCTTATTTGAAGAGCCTTAGCACCAAGTGGTATCCAATTTGGTATATTTCCTAAAAAGTTGTTTTCACGAACATTAAAGATCATTAGAGAGTGGCAATTTTTTAGCGAGGGAGGAATCTCTCCATAGAGCTTATTCTCATGCAGATGTAGCGATGTAAGATTAGATAACAAGCCCATTGATGGAGGTATCTTTCCTATTAGATTATTGCTTCCCAAGTTAACATGAACCAAAGATTTCCAATTCTTCCAACAATTAGTAAGCCCTCCAGATAGATGATTCAGAGATACGTCCAAGTACACCAAATTGGTTTTCTCATCAATCATCTTTTGATCACACAAGAGAGGAGAGATGTTTCCTGATAATGAGTTGTTTGATAGCTTGACAACCGCCACATTGGATGATAATCGAGGTAGAGTACCTTTCAGACCATTTGATGACAGAGATATGAATGTAGAGTTCAACAACACGTTTGACA